TCCCAGCTCTTTCCTCAGCCGCATCCACAGAGCATTTTGTCGACAGACATACAGAACTATAGGCAGATCGACAGATCGGCAAAGCAACATACTAAGTAAAAGAGTTTCAGGCATTATAGCAAAAGACTTCATTCTTCAAAACCAAGCCCAGGAGGGGGAAGGAGTTCCGGGGACAATGAAAATGACTGACGTACCCTGGAGTCTCTCCTTCCCGCCTAAGGCTTATGGCCGTTTTTATAAAAAGAACATGTTTTGCGCGATTCTAAATGCATTGCCACTCCATTGGCCCCGTATCCTGTGATAGCGCCGAATTTCATTTGTGCTTGCGCCTAGTCCTCATTGATATTTTAGGGTCATAATCAATATTTCAAGTATATTATTATGCCATATACAGGCAAATCTCTCGATTATATAAAGGAGACTGTTTTGAAAAGCGAGTTCGCGTGAGTTTTACATACTGGAGTACAGGGTAAGAGCGCCTTTTTTCTACCAATTTAATAACCGATTTACCTATCTCACTCGAATGAAATGGACATCGTGGGAGAACGTTCTCTTTCAACGGCTACATATGTGCACTTGCAGCGGCTATGGAACGTGAAACCATTTTACGGTTATGCGACGGAATTTCGAAATTCTTCCGGTGTTTAGGCAAACCCGCCGTAGAGTCGGTTCTTGAAACCCCCGAACTACAGTACAGTACAGAAACTCACCAGCAACCTTTATCTCTGCTTTTTAGGCCACACACCGCCATTCAAATTGCTTGTCAAACACACCTCGCTTTGAAAAATCTTCACGAGTTAGGTTATATCCATAGAGATGTGAAGCCAGACAACTTTGTCGTCGGCAGGTGGGTGATAGCTGCCATTTGCCATTGATAAAAGGCTGAAAGTGGCTGTTGAGAAATTCCATGGAGCTGTTTCACAAATCCGTCCGTCCCCATCAATCCCTTCAGAAACCTATTTCCTTGTCCAAGGAGCTGCTCGAAGTAGCCGATGTTCCAGTCAGCTAGAGTTTTCTCAAGAAATTTCTGTACCAAAAACGAGCTTGCCTTATTTTTGCCTGGCCCACTCTCTTCAATCAGGCGGCGATTCTGACCACTGCGTTGGCTCCATCTTGGGTCAAATTATATGTTTCTGACTTATTAAAAACATCACCCACTTTAGACTTGAACACAGGAATGTCATTTTTATAATGGACTTCGGCATGAGTACAAAGTTTGAAAAAACGACTGCCAACCTACCCAAGTGAGTAATGTTGAAGTTTTAACAAATCAGTTACTTACTAGAAAACAGTCTATCGAGCACATTAAAGCCGTTCAGCTCTCTTACCTTGAGCCCAAAGTTGAAGAAGTCACAAAGACGCTGAGTTTTGGATTAGGCCCGTCACCTCAATTTGCACCTTGACCCTGATTTACGGGCTGATGGGAGTGTGTGAAATCTTCCTCCATCACCGCCCCTTGCTGCCTGCCTTAGGTTTCCCAGCCTTTTTTTCTAATGTTGTGGATAGAAAAACCTCCGTCCCCTTCGTGGCGTTCGCTACCAGGAAAGGAGGTGGGTCGAACTGACCATATGCAATGATAAATACATCTTTGGATGTATTTTTGGACACCGATCTTAAATCTGCTTCCAAAATTTCCAAGTCGATATTCGAAGAACGAAGTTTTGAAGCGAGATAGATCAACAGCAGTAGTCGACTCGTGGGAGAGAGGTCGTGGGATCGATTCCTTGACAGGGTTCACTCTTTTACCTTTGCAAGAACCCGATTGAAAAAGACTCAAACAAGGTAGGGTGATCAATGTTAGCCCATAGTCACCGGCAGTCACTTGTAGTTTCCGGGGAATTAGTAGTGTCAAGTTTAGGCGCTGTTTGCTAATGAATGCACATGGAGACCGTAGTATTAACCCCTCGCAAACTTTCTGCAGCGATAACTGTAGGCAACTGTTTATTAAGAAACTTTGTTCGGGGCATTTTTCAACCATGTTGCTGCAGAGGTCGACCCCAAGACCTCTCGCCCCTGAGCCCTGACTACTACCGCTGTTCTATTTTGCTCTTTCACAACTACGGTAAAATCGGTTGA